AACAACAACAACAACAACAACTAGAGAACTTAGTCCACAACTCACCTTCTCATTTTGACTTTTCAAGGCTCCTTTGTGCTGTGCAGACACTCACGCTTTCAACCTTGAGACAAGTTGGCTCGAAAAAGAATGCGAGCCTTGTACACGTCCAGTGTTTGTGAATGAAGAAGTTTTCAAGGGGGGGGGGGGGCCTTTTTGGTCCTCAAATTGATGTCACCCGCCTCTGAAGATGGATCCTTTGGGTGGGCGCGATCAAGCTGTAGCTGCCGAGTGGTGGGGAGGGTGTTTTTTTTTTTTTTTTTTCTCAGAGAGAGGGACATTGGAAGGGAGAGGAATGGGAGAAAAACAGAATACATAACAGAGGGGCCGGCTCCTCTAAGGGAAACTCCTCATCAATCCTCGTTCAATCCGGCGGCTTTCACACTTTATTTTTCAGCATTTAACAACTAATGCTGTTGTAGGAGTTATACTGGGCGGTCTGCTCGTGTTGAAAAGAAATGAGAGTGTTGTCACTCCAATCAACGTGATTCCAATGGAAAACATCCCTCGACGGAGGAAAATGAGCAAACGCGCGTTGTTATGCTAAATGTAAATAAGGAGGCGTTAGATTTATTGCGGATGATTCTCATCCACTGCATCATCCCGGTTGTTGGCAGCAGTGCGCACAGTGCGGCCGCTGTGGACTGTTTACGTTGAGGCCAATGATTGCTACACTGGAAGGAAAAAAAAAAAACGAGAAAAAAAAAAACGGGTTTTTTTAAATGCTGTTGTGTATATGTGAAACGGATGGTATGCTTTGGTTAAACCAACACTTTATTTCTCAAAAAATAAAAATAAAATACAGATCAGAATTAAAAATGTATATTTCGAAAAATGGGACCCTTTCCCTCATAATGTTACAAATTTATTCTCGGGAAATTAAACATTTATTTCTTTTGTCACTTTTTTTTTTTTGACAAGAATGGAATTAAAAGTCAAAAAATGAACCGCTCACGTCAAGTTCTTTGAAAATCCTTCTCGCTTACATACTAAATAAATCATCCTTTTAAAAATGCTGTGTGACACATGCAGCAGACAAGGCCGACATCCGTCTGATCACTTTTCACAGCGCTTCGCTTCAATTCCGTACAACAAAAGGACATGAATTTATATGAACAATTGTGAGACAATAAACGACGGAACAAAATTGCTTTCGATGGTTGCTTGCAATCTTTATCTGCTTGTCACTAGCAGGCGATTAGTACAGCATTCCATTGACCCCAATATACCACAAATTGGCACCAAAGCATATTTTTTGTGTAATTTATATTTCTTCCTAATTTCAACGTAGTAACTTGACACCAAGATGCCACAGGAGGGTGTCAAAGAACTATTTTTGTCTAAATGAACCAACGTAACTCCAAGATGCCACAAGATGGCTCCAAAGCACGATTGTAGTTTATATGAAACAACTTAACTCATTTCAACATAGTTCCTTGACCCCAGTTTGCCACAAAAGGGCGCTGATGCAGTATTTTGTGTAAATGATCGTCAACTCATTTTCACATAGTTAAGATGGTGTAAAAACACTATTTAAAAAAAAAAAAAATCTAAATAAAAATCGTTAACTACTCCAAGATGCCACAAGATGGCTCCAAACCGCTACTTTAGTTGAAATGAAATTCATTTCAACATAGTTCCTTGACCACAAAATGCAACAAGATGGTGCCATAGCAACATTTTGGATAAATGATACGGTTTTCAATTCGACTCATTTTAGCATAGTTACTGGACAATATAACACAATACGGCAGCAAAGTAAAACTTTTATTGCTTTGACGAGAGCATAAAAACGGCGGTTTACTTTTCAGCCAGTAAAAGAGGTGAGTTCACCCCTCCCCCTTCCCCTCCCAGCCAAATGAGAAAAATATGTTAATTTGCATATGACACGCAGTTATGTGGGGGCTTGCTGCAAATATCTTGGGCTGCAAAGAAACAAACTGGTGGATTGGACGGCCATGCTGTAAAACAAAAGCTGTGTAGCGATTTGGCAATACGATGCTAAAATACAAGTGGTTAAAAGGAACCCCCCCCCCCCCCCCACACACACACACAGAATGCTAAACCACATCTTTCTGTTTCTCCGTTCCATCAGGGGAGGCGGCAACTGAAGCGTTGGCATCACCAGGTTTTTGCTGTGTCAGACAGGATGAATCATCCACTGGGGTGACATCAGCAGCTTCTTCACTTTTGGCAGCCTCTTCAGCCTCCTGCTTCCCTTCTCCCTTTTCTCCGTTCTCACGTACCTTCACATCTTCTTCTTTGGGGCCACTACGGTCCACTTCTTTCTGCGTTTCATTCAAGTCAGTGAGTAGCATACTGGTCTCTTTGGCTTCCGTCTCCAAGTTACTTTTGTATTTCCCGTTCGATTCCATCTGCTTTGCGAAGTCGCTTCCCAGCATCCTGATGCGTTTGCTCATCTGGCACACTTTGCAGGTCAGCATTGAAGTGGACAGGAGAAGAATGAGGCAGATTAGGATCAGGCCTCCTGTTAGCATCATGAGTGGGATGCAGTTACGAGTGTCCAGCACGCCCACGGGTGTGGCGACGCTGCTTGGCGTCAAATCCGGCAAAGGGTTCGGTTTAGAGGTGCTTCTCACGGCGGAGGGCAATGGGGTGGTGGCAGCTTGGGATGACGGACGTGGAGACATAGCACCGGTTGCTACATTTTCTTCTGGTGTTCTTGGGTCAGGAGTTGAGGCCAACAAGGATGGCACATTATACGAGTTGTTTTGAGCACCACACATCAGGGCCCTGAGTATAATTACACCGTAAAACAGGGGGTGTATTGTGGGGGCTTTCATTGTTGCTAATGTAGCTGAAAAAGAATAATGAGAACAAGTGAGTCAGCACTGGTTAGCTAACTAGGTCAAACAAACAAAACAACAAGCAACTGCGGAATAAGGGTAAGTCACGAGCAAGTAAACAACCAAGAAAATAATATAAGTCAATAATTGGTATAAAATTAGCATATTGGTAAGCAACATTGAGATCCTTAAAATTAGCAGAAGCAACATGCGTTAGCAACATTGGTGAGTAGATCACTAAAGATGAAGACGGTTCATGTCAATACAACAAGATCAAGGACGCTGAGTAACTAGGTATTAAAATGAGCATATTTGTGCATATTTATGGAAGTGACAAGAACAAGGTTATAGTAATAAGGAATCCAGTATGTAAGTATGGAAGTAAACTAAATGTGTCTACGTCTATGACGTAGCAAGATTAAATATATGGGTGGAGATATGCAAATAAGGAGGTGGGTAAGATCGAACATGAGTGCATTAACCTTATGTAAGAAAATGCATCATAAGTAACTAGAGACTGTAAGCAACAAGGTAAACACATCAATGAGGAGGCAAATAAATAGGCATGAAACTCACTCGTATTAATCAGAAACCAGTTAGTATCTAAGCCCTCGTAATAGGCAACAAAGGTGATAGAAAGGTCATAGAAGTATCATCTATACATCACTAATATGTTGACAAATAACATGTAAGTAAACACTGAAGGCTGCAATCAATTTATGAGCAACCAAGTATAAAACAAATCACATAAATCAAGGAAGTAGTATATCATAAGGTGAATACGCAGGTAAGAGTATGGGCTACAAGTCAGTTAAGTAGCTGGACAAGTAAATAAGTTATGACTAAGTAGCTAAGTAGTAACTAACAAAATAAGTAAATTAAGAGGATATATATATAAATAAGCATGCAAGTCACTTGGAATATATTTCAGTATTTACCTTAACTTGATGGGAAGCTACCTTCATTTGGTAGGTAAGTAACCTATGTCTGCAAATAAGCGGGTATGCGAGAACTAAAATAGGTCTAAAGGTATTGGAAGAAAAAAAAAAAGAAGTCACTTAACTTACATTGGATGTGATTGATTCGGAGATGCCAAACTTGCTTGAGGAAAAAAGGAGAAGAGCTGAAGATGAGCGTGCGAAAGACTCATTGACAGTGAAAGAAATCAATGGCGTGTAAAAGCTGTCTCGGGCTTACTTCTCCATTTGAGTTATAATGAGAAAAGGAAGTGGCTTTTACTGAGAACATCTGTGGGGTGGAACACTACAAAATGGCAAGATCACAGCGAAATGATTCGTCTCGTTGGTAAAAAGCTAAAGCGTATTATCATGGCAGTGGATGCAAGACGTTAAGTCAACATGCTTTGAAAAGATGCTGTATACACAGACCAGTTTTTCTTTTGACGCTGGTCGTATAACTTGGGCCTCAGCAGGCTACAAAGTATATGCACATTTGATTTCACTGATTTTAGAGTGTTGCGGGATCGGCTGAAAAAGGCACTTTATACTTGAGCAGCACCTGGTGGGAAATAAAGAACACGTGAAAGGAACTGAGAGCAGCTCCCAAGCATGCAGTATTGAGACATTTTTTTTTCTTCCTCTTGTTTCAAATTATAAAAGCAGGTGCTTATAACTGATGAATAGATACAAGGTTAGCTGACTTATTTCCGCAAATATAACAAAATGCAAAAGGACAATTTGTCATTTGACGGTCCAGTGGAGAAAGAGGACATTTTGTGTCTGCTACCCCCCTCCTCCCCCCGGCAAGGTCATGTGATCCACGAGCACCTTCTTCTGTGCAGTATGAGTGTGCAAAAATCCATCCCTCCCCCTTCTTATCAGTCAATGTTTCTCATTTTACTGACACGTAGCGAGACTCTTGATTGATTCCTCGCCGAAATGACTCCCCGAGGCGGCAAGGTGAAACGCAAGGTGTTTTTGTTTTGCTGCTGTTGAGGCTTTAAAGTTTGGTCTAAAACAAGATGAGGACCAGCAAGTAGATTAGGACACCCAGATAAATGCGCTTCACTGGAATGTCCAATCGATATTTGGATGACCCAGATGCAACCTGGAGAGGGCGAGTCGCCCTCTGTTGCTGGGTTGGTGACTATCCTATGCAGTAAACGGCCACGCTATGATGTCAAGCGCATTTTTTATTCTCTGTAAATTTCCCGTTCATTGGGGAATTTTTTAAAATCCATGTGATTCCCACCCAAAGAGGTTTGCGATTGCCTGCGGATGACGCAAGATGGTGTACCTTTTCTTCTGTTAGAGACAGCCACGGCATGACTAATTGAATAGCTTCCCCTCAATTTTTCAGCAAATAAAGGCTTGAACCAACCCGCCGCCCACTCATAAAAAAAAAAAAACAAAAAAAAAAAACAAATATTGCAAGTAGGCAAATGCCAGCTACGGAATAAGCAGGGCTTCACTTGATATTAAAAGCTGCAGTTAGGAGGGCAAGAAAAGCAAGTCGTATTGTCATATGATGAGCCTCATTTTATTCTTTTCCATGGATGAAAACAGAACCTGCGTGTACGGAACGGTCTTCACATGCAATACAAAAATATGAATTTTTATAACATAAAATAAAAAAAAAAATTAAAAAAACAAACATGTATTGGCCCATTTTTTAAAAAAATGTACAGTCTTTATACATGACAAAAATATAAATATATATACATCTGTATTGGCGGAAGTGGGCCATATTGCAAAAAAATTAGTTGATGCCTTTTACATAGAAAATGTTTGTACAAATGTTCGATCGTCATAAATTGCTGTACATTAAATAATGTATTTACAGCACTTACCAATGGATTTGCAACAATACACAAATTAACCCAGCATGTTCCAGTCACACACATACAAGCACAATGCAAGCACAACTGCAAAAAACACACACGCGCACACACACACACACTCAGAGGAGGCAATGTTTAAGGAAGATAGGACACTTTTGCACCAGGTTCCTGATTTTTTTTTTCTTTCCTCATGAAGTCCCTCCTCAGCTGTTTGAAATAACTAATCTTCTTATAAGGTGCACTTGACAGCTTAAAAAAAGAAATCCAGCATGTATTCCTTTCCCTGGGAGGATGTTGAATAAATAAAAGGGGGGGGGGTATGCAATTAAATGCTCAAGAAATCAATGGGCGAGTGTTGCGGGGTCACCAAATTAGCACAGAACAAAGAAGCGAATGTTTTCTTTTGAAAACAAATGCCACAAAACACTGCAATGGTAGGTTCACCAAATTACAAAAAATTAAATAAATACTGTAAATCAAAAAGGACCTTTTGCAAAACATGCAATCACTGTTCAAAATGAAACCTAATGAACTGGGAGGCTTTGGGCACACCACGCAAGCGAGATCGATTAAGGGTTTCGTGGTGCATTTAATGTCCTGCAAAGTGTAAGAGTGTGTGTGTGTGTGTGTGTGTGTGTGTGTGTGTGTGTGTGTGTGTGTGTGTGCGCGCGCGCGTGCATCATGTGGTAACAACCAAAGCCTCAGATTAACCCAAAGGAAGGGGAGGAGAAAAAGTGTGCTACACATCTGTCCACTGATGCTCTCTTTTCAAACAAGACGAAGACGAGTGTGTGTGTGTGTGTGTGTGTGTGTGTGTGTAAAAGTAGAGTGTGTTCGAGGCAATGCTTTGAACAATCCTGTGGGCGTTAAGGATTCGGGAGCATGCAAGGCAGACCCAGGCTTTGTGTTGCATTGCTTATGTTTGCCGCTACAACCTGGAGGCCGACAGGAGACAGAAGAGACAAAAGAGAGCAAAGGAAGAGGCGGTCATTAATTGACGGTTAGTCAGTCGGTTAAAAGCACAGATTGGGAAGATTCAAAGAGAAGCAGGGCAGTAAACACACACTTATAGATTAGGATGAATGTATTAGTCCATCTCCAAATCATTTCTTTGCTGTGGCTTTCGCTTACAGGAAAGTGCAAGTGCATGACGCAGAAGAAAAGGAGGGCACATTTTCATATAGTGCTGTTGAATGTTAGCTGCGGCAACAGGTTGTCGTAAAAAATGTGCAAATACTGTTATGAAAAGCACAAAATGAGTGATGCGTGTGAAAATTTGAATTAAAAGGACAAGGAATTACTTCTGTAAAAATAATTGTAAATTGTAATGAAAACAGGTTGGTTATGAAAATGCATGGCTGTAAGCGTGTAAAAAAAAAAAAAAAAAAAGTGTACACCCCACCCTTTGCAAATTACTATGGTGCCTTGAGATACAAGTGATCCACCATATTCGTAGTTCAAGAGAGAAGTCGTCGATTGGACAATTTTCTCTGTTAGAGACAGCCACGGCATGACTAATTGAATAGCTTCCCCTCAATTTTTCAGCAAATAAAGGCTTGAACCAACCCGCCGCCCACTCATAAAAAAAAAAAAACAAAAAAAAAAAACAAATATTGCAAGTAGGCAAATGCCAGCTACGGAATAAGCAGGGCTTCACTTGATATTAAAAGCTGCAGTTAGGAGGGCAAGAAAAGCAAGTCGTATTGTCATATGATGAGCCTCATTTTATTCTTTTCCATGGATGAAAACAGAACCTGCGTGTACGGAACGGTCTTCACATGCAATACAAAAATATGAATTTTTATAACATAAAATAAAAAAAAAAATTAAAAAAACAAACATGTATTGGCCCATTTTTTAAAAAAATGTACAGTCTTTATACATGACAAAAATATAAATATATATACATCTGTATTGGCGGAAGTGGGCCGTATTGCAAAAAAATTAGTTGATGCCTTTTACATAGAAAATGTTTGTACAAATGTTCGATCGTCATAAATTGCTGTACATTAAATAATGTATTTACAGCACTTACCAATGGATTTGCAACAATACACAAATTAACCCAGCATGTTCCAGTCACACACATACAAGCACAATGCAAGCACAACTGCAAAAAACACACACGCGCACACACACACACACTCAGAGGAGGCAATGTTTAAGGAAGATAGGACACTTTTGCACCAGGTTCCTGATTTTTTTTTTCTTTCCTCATGAAGTCCCTCCTCAGCTGTTTGAAATAACTAATCTTCTTATAAGGTGCACTTGACAGCTTAAAAAAAGAAATCCAGCATGTATTCCTTTCCCTGGGAGGATGTTGAATAAATAAAAGGGGGGGGGGTATGCAATTAAATGCTCAAGAAATCAATGGGCGAGTGTTGCGGGGTCACCAAATTAGCACAGAACAAAGAAGCGAATGTTTTCTTTTGAAAACAAATGCCACAAAACACTGCAATGGTAGGTTCACCAAATTACAAAAAATTAAATAAATACTGTAAATCAAAAAGGACCTTTTGCAAAACATGCAATCACTGTTCAAAATGAAACCTAATGAACTGGGAGGCTTTGGGCACACCACGCAAGCGAGATCGATTAAGGGTTTCGTGGTGCATTTAATGTCCTGCAAAGTGTAAGAGTGTGTGTGTGTGTGTGTGTGTGTGTGTGTGTGTGTGTGTGTGCGCGCGCGCGCGCGTGCATCATGTGGTAACAACCAAAGCCTCAGATTAACCCAAAGGAAGGGGAGGAGAAAAAGTGTGCTACACATCTGTCCACTGATGCTCTCTTTTCAAACAAGACGAAGACGAGTGTGTGTGTGTGTGTGTGTGTGTGTGTGTGTAAAAGTAGAGTGTGTTCGAGGCAATGCTTTGAACAATCCTGTGGGCGTTAAGGATTCGGGAGCATGCAAGGCAGACCCAGGCTTTGTGTTGCATTGCTTATGTTTGCCGCTACAACCTGGAGGCCGACAGGAGACAGAAGAGACAAAAGAGAGCAAAGGAAGAGGCGGTCATTAATTGACGGTTAGTCAGTCGGTTAAAAGCACAGATTGGGAAGATTCAAAGAGAAGCAGGGCAGTAAACACACACTTATAGATTAGGATGAATGTATTAGTCCATCTCCAAATCATTTCTTTGCTGTGGCTTTCGCTTACAGGAAAGTGCAAGTGCATGACGCAGAAGAAAAGGAGGGCACATTTTCATATAGTGCTGTTGAATGTTAGCTGCGGCAACAGGTTGTCGTAAAAAATGTGCAAATACTGTTATGAAAAGCACAAAATGAGTGATGCGTGTGAAAATTTGAATTAAAAGGACAAGGAATTACTTCTGTAAAAATAATTGTAAATTGTAATGAAAACAGGTTGGTTATGAAAATGCATGGCTGTAAGCGTGTAAAAAAAAAAAAAAAAAAGTGTACACCCCACCCTTTGCAAATTACTATGGTGCCTTGAGATACAAGTGATCCACCATATTCGTAGTTCAAGAGAGAAGTCGTCGATTGGACAATTTTCTGCTTAGACTTGCGAGCGCCAATTTATGCACTACCTGTGGCAGGAAACTCAATACAACCTGCTTCATATTTGGCAGTTTCACAGATATAAGTTTAAAAAAGGAAAAAAAAAGAGGCTTCGAGATATTTATTGCCACTCTCAGATGAAGATTAATGTCAAACTAAACACAAAGAGACTTTAAAAACAACCACAAAATAGCCTCCACTACCTAAATACAAAATACAGTACAATGGCAAACACCACAGACACACATGCTAATAATTAGCATCTGTGTGGCAGTGTTGTTACGCTTAAAATGGATACCTGAACTAAAATAAAGCAGCAACACATGTCGACATGGAATAGTCACAGGCTTATATAAGTTATGCTCTGCAAAGAACATCTAATATTACTGGCGTACTGAAAAGCCAAGAGAGGAGCTGAGTCTACAGTACATCTGTATGCTTGTCTTATACTGCGCCCAAGGCACACACAAGCACTGAAGAAGAAGGTCTGATAAAAATGGCTTGATTCTATTTAGATTGTATTTCATCGTGTCATTACTGTATGTTTTTCGTCACATATATTATAGAGTGCTATTTTTTAAATTAAAAACACGACAAAAATCTTGGGGTTGGAATGGATCAATGGGATTTCAATATGTTTTCATGGGGAAAGCTGATTTGAGATATGAATGTTTTGAGTTTTGACAATAGTCAAGGAATGAATTAAACTCGGATCTCAAGGCACCATTTATATATATATGTGCGTGTGTGTGTGTGTATGTGTGTGTGTACATATACACACACATGCTTATACTTATTACAGTGCATTATTTTTCATAATCCAAATGCAAATGTATGGTGAAAACAGCTGGTTGGAAAATAGACAATTGCATGTTTGCAATGCAAAAAACAAAAATGTACACAAAAATGTTTTTTTTTTTTGTGTGTGCTCATTAAGTGCATGACTGTTTGTGCAGAATCCTACCAAAGCCTGGCGAAAACGAGGCTGGAAAGAAAAATGTAGAATGTCCACACTAAAAAAATTACTTTTTGTGCATTCATTTTCATGCAATACCCTACTAAATTCTGGTGGAAAAAAGTTGGGACAAGCTGTACAGATAAGCCCCCAAATTATTCATACAACGACCACATTTTGAGTTAAAGCTTTTTTTTATTCATGTATGCCATCATCTGTTTGTTTGGGTTTTTTTTTCAGATCTAAATAATTAATAGACAAATTCCACGCAGGAAGGCCGGAATCCAGAATGTAACACAGAATCTCAGAGGTATGAGGCAGGCAAGATAAACACTACGACACCTTGCAACTCGTTTACTAAATGCACTATATGGTACATTTTAGAATGTATATTATTCCTATTCCCAACAATTTTGAGAAAACCTTTATACCATTCTAAATGACCCCTTTATACCATTCTAAATGACCCGCATCATTTGTGGGACATACATAAAAAATACTTTGAAATGTAAACAAATAAAAAATTGAAGGTAGCTTTTTTTTTTTTAAACACGATTTATTTAAAACGTTGTTCTGTCAGAAAATAGTAAATTCACCATGAAAAAAAAATCCCTTTAACTCCAAATGTGGCCAGAATATGATTATGGATTTATTTTCTCTGAAGAATCTCTTCTGTCAATTGGCAAAACAACACCACTGGCATATAAATCATCATTCAATTTAAGGAGCTTCTCTTTCACATAAACCGCAAGGATATTTTTGTGACCGAGTCAATGCAGCAAAGAAACCGTTTCCCTCCCCCACGTCCCTTACGGTCCGGAGCGTTCATCTGGCCCGCTGACTCGTGGGATACCTACTCTGCTGACTTCCAGAAGTGTCCCGGGTGAGACAGCCTGCGGTTGAGTTTGGGCAGCTTCTCCAACATGTCGGCCAGCTGCGTGAAAGGGGGCCGCTCCCGCAGGTCGTAAGCCCAGCAGGCCGAGAGGATCTCCTGTAGCCAGAGAAGACTCTTTGGGTCAGAACACCGGACAATCCCCGAACCCGCTTGCGCGTTTGACAACTCGAACTCACCGTGACCTCTTTCCCCAGGCTGATCTCTGACAGGATCTTTTTTATACCTTCTCCACTGCCCACCTGCCAGATGGTTGCTTCCACGGGCTGGTTGGTGATTGGCCAGTCCCTGACTTGGAGCTCGTACCAAATGGTGCTTTGAAAAAAAGTGGGGGAGGAACCAATGCATGATTACTCTTTTCATGTCTGCGACAGGCGGTCCCATATCGGTGCACCGAACGACGTCTTACCCAAAGGCGTACACATCTGCCGCGGTGGAGAAAGGAAGTCGGTCCTCGTTGTTCCCCGGACTCATCTTACGCACTATTTCCGGTGCGAGGTAACAAATCCAGCCATGTGGAAGTTTGAGTTGATTCTCCCGCCTGAAACAATTTATGAAACAAAAAAGTTGATTTGAATTCAAGACATTGTCTTATTGCAGTCAAAGACGACAGGAAGGTGTTACGTCATGGCACAAAACAGCAGGACTGGAACAACAACAGAACTGGGCCTACCCCAGCACAAACAACACCTTAAGACAAATGCACGACGAGTGATGCGGCTCATCTACTACGACTCAACTTACCTGCCTTCCTGAACGACACCAGAAATCCCAAAAAGGCCAAAATCTGTGATCACGACCTTGTTGGTATCATGAAAGACGTTCTTGGACTTCAAGTCTTTGTGGACAATGCCTTTAGCGTGCAGATATCCCATTCCCTAAATTGGGAGACGGTTCATTATGTTTCATCATCACATTGTTTATTACACGCGATGAAGAACTGGCTTACAGCTCAGTGTATTAAGTAGTTATACCGAAGACCGCTTATGGAGCAATTAAAACCTAAATGAACCAACAAGAAACTACCTTGACAATTTCCTGGGCGATTTGTCTGGTCTTGTTGATATCCAAAGTGTTTTTGCTATCTCGCACAACTGAATAGAGCGTCCTCCCTTTACAGAAACTGTGAACAGAATGAAGAAGGATTGTATTTAGTTATTTGAGTGGCGCGGTGCCGGTTGGAGTTATGCAGCATGGTTCAAGTGACAACTGGGATATGCGTAAATGGGGTGGGGGTGGAGGGCTGGAGTCGGTGTCAGATCAGAATCAGGCCTCTTGCAAATGTGGATAAATATCCAATACATATTTGTTACGTGCCAATATGACTGCATTGTACAGTAAACAAAATGATGTCAACGTGAGCTCACGATCGAGAACGTGTTGTATAATTATCACATGTTAAATCAGATTTGGTAAAATTGGACATGCAGTGTAAATCCAGCCTGGTGTGGTTTGATTCTGTGGAAGTTCTCACCTAGTGATGATAGCTAAGTGAGGTGGGGCCATGCAAGCCCCCATGAAGAGCACCACATTCTCATGTCTGGTCTGCCTGTAGTTCATCACCTCCTTTTTAAAGAGCTTCAGGTGGTCCTGATTGTTTCCGTCAATCTCAAGAAGTCTGATCGCCACCTCGCCGTGCCATCGACCTTTATGCACCTTGCCCCAGCGGCCCTGGTTTAAAAAAAAAAAAAAAAAAAACAAAAAACATCTGAAGGTATTCAAACTCAAAATCCTCCATTGTCCAGATGTACTGACTGAGCGCAATGAACTTGAGTCTGTTTTTGCTTCCTTACCTTCCCTATGAGTTCTCCAAGGTCCAGTTGCTCAAAAGGGATGTCCCATTCCTGCAGATAGACGCTGGTCTGGCTGGCTTTGCGGGAGATGGGGACCTTCCATTGGTTCCCCCGCGAGCAAGGCAGATCGTCCAACTTGTCGCTTTCGCACTCGCCATCAGAGCCCATGTTCATCCGGATCTCCTCGCCATCCTCCTCGTCCTCCCCTTCATCGCAAATGTCCTCCTCTTCCTCCTCATTGTCCTCATCCAATTCAGGGTCTTCATCTTCGACCTCAATGTCATCTTCTCCTTCCTAGAAAGGGGACCACAACTTGCTCTTTAAATGGATTCGACTCAGAAATGTAGAGTCATTTTGATCAAGGTTTACAAATGTTTGGTTTTTGGGCCCACTTTGGGTCTGAGTTATTTTATTATTGGGTCTCCCCCAGGAATCAGCAGAGAATCTGAATTGGGCATAATGCCCTGCAGTGTGACATCTGGCTGCCGGGATGAAAATTACATGGAAATGTCATTCTGCACCACACCCTCATTCCTGGTTTCAATTGCGAGGAGGGCTTTGAAATCTGCGGCAACTTCCGTAATCGCGGAATCGGGGATTCCTGTAGGGACTAAATAAATAATGTGTGCTTATTAATTGATCAGGACATAGGCACAGAATTACTCGGCAAAAGGGTTTTGGATTTATATTTCCTTTCAATTACGTGTGTTTTGTTTATATGTCAATGCATTTTAATAAATGTGAATCCTTGCAAAACCATCATTTAAATGGCAGCATTTTGTGTATTTTCTGACATTCCAGTCATACCTCCTCATCTTCATCTTCATCTTCGACCAGATCAGCATGTATGTCCTCTACTGACTGCACAATTTCACTGCTGTAAACCAATAACAAAATCCAATGAAAACGTATTCTCACCATTCTAACATGAGAGATGAAAAAAATCAACTTATCTAATTAGAGTTAGGAACAAAATGGATCAAGTCTTACACTGTATCTTGGAGGATATCAGTATGTAAAGTGGCAGGGCCGGAGACGTCTGGAGAGGGAAAACAATACTCAAAAATATTCCCTTCAGTCATTTATTTGTACGACGAAAACAGAAATGGAAGAGTACATGCAAGTTCCCATCATCACCACCAGATGGCGGTACAACATCATATGTACGGAATAGAGGCGCTCGTGCACATGAGTATGACACTATGAAACCCGTTCAACGTCATGCAGCAGAAGATAGCAGCTGCAGAGTATCGCGGATTTTGCACAGGGAAATGATGGAAAGGTGACAATGCAGTATGACATGTTGGGACTCACCGGGGAAGATAAACTGTTGTCTATGGTGAAAGTAGCAGGCAGCTTTTGTTAAAAAAAAAAAAAAAAAAAAAAAAAAAATCAAGTCGGAAAAGCCAGCAAGCATGGCAAAGAGAGAGAGTGAGAGAGAGAGAGAGAGAGAGAGAGAGAGAGAGAGAGAGAGAGAGACTCATGATTAGAGGTTATTTTTCATTTTTAGAAAGAATGTTTAAAACGTACAACCATTATCGGTTTTCAGTGTTAATTCCAGAGAGGTAAGTAAAAAAATGGGTTCTTTTTCTAATTAATTCATAGATCGTATTGGAAGTCATGCTGGCATGCGCATTTGGATTTTTTGTCTCATCATCAGGGCCTGTGTTTTACCTGGGAAGTTGAAGCGGCTGTCCCGATGGCCTTTGGGCGAGGGGTTGGGTGGCGGCGTGGCACTCGGAGGGTTACTCTGCTGGAAGGGCGCCGGGGAGGAGGGCGTAGATGAGGTCGTAGAGGACGGATTACTGCTGGAGTCGAGCTGGTTCAGGGCGGGAGGATGATCCTGCTGACACAAGCCACTCCGTTTAGAAATCAGCCTAACGTTACACTCACAGGACACTTTGTTAGGTACACCTGCACAATCTAATGTGTATATCTGGAGCTGCAGTGGGCATCTTGTTGTTAAATTGAAATATTAAAAATACAGTTCGGTAATCCAAGTCAAAGCAAACTACAATCACAGTAATAAACATGCTGTATTATTAAATCGATACGGCTCAGAGTATGAATCTGCACTCATCATTTTTTCGAAAAGTATAATTTTTCTGGATCTCAGATTGTGTAGGTATGCCAAATGTGTACAGGTGAGTCAAAGCATTTTCAATATACGAGAAAAGTTAATCTTTTCAGTCGCTCAATTCTCAAAAAAATTGAGCGACTTTGTATATATTGAGACGCACCTCTAGATAAAATTCATTCAAGGTACAATTGAGTGGAAACAATAAATCTAATATTCACTCTCTAATGGGCACGGCGCAGTGGTAAGTAGACAGACGTCAGATGGCAAGAATCACCTGCATAACTATTTGTCTTTCACACCAAAGCAAACAAACCTGGAACATCCAGACGTAGAGGACATTTGCGCCAGTGTGTTCTGAATTTTCACACATACAAACACTTAAGTGCCAGACAAGAGACTCGGGTCTGGCGGTTGGATGCTTCACCGATCGGGAGAGTGAAGTGAGATTCATGGCTGTTTCAAAGCATCATTTTACCTTTTTAGTAATGGCTTTTGGTAGTGTACCAAACTGTGGCGCTTCGGGAGGACGATCCACTGGGTTGTTTATATCTGATGGCACAGACTCGGTCCTCCGAATTTTGGCAACTAGAACAGAAGATATTACAATTCTTTTGCGTCTCGTCGTCTGTTAGCCGGAGGAGAATACACAAACTAATCTTACTTGGAAGAAAAGAAATTCTGCAGGATGGCGCCTCCTTTGTGCACTTGTTGTGGCACTTTAATCTGCACACAAATAAGCAGCAGACCAGAAGAAAACTAGGTATCACACTAGATCATTTCTATCATATTTCCTAATTAACTTATTCAGTACCAGCCAATTCTGGACCAAGTCTAACAGACCAGAAGAAAACTAGGTTATCACGCTAGATCATTTCTATCATCTTTCCTAGTTAATATGAAAGAGCTCGACTCACCGACAGTGTTTACACTTAACTCCAAACATCTCGAGTGAATGAGTTAATATGAAAGGGCTCAACTCACCGACAGTGTTTACACTTAACTCCAAACATCATGTTCTTCTGACACACCTGACACGTCTGGGAGAGCCAGGACTTGGTGGAGAACCTACAGAAAAAGAACGCATTCACTTCTATTCACTAAGGCATCCTGTGGGGTGACAATACTTTGGTGGAGAACCTACAGAAAAAAAAAAACAAAAAAAAAACATTCAATTCTATTCACTAAGGCATCCTGTGGGGTGACAATACATAATGGGAGGTAGAGCACAGCGTTCTATTGATTCATGTATTTTATTTTTTTTTTAAAAGGCACCTGTGTGTGACTGCAAGGCCGATGTCCCTCCTCACAGCTTGCGGAGAGCTGCGGTGAACTGGTTTGTGATCTAGATGTCACGGGAAAGCAAGAAGGGGAAGAACATGACATGCAGTTACAAGATGACAATTTGCCACTAAAACAGAAGTCTGTGCAACTCATCAATATTCAATTACAGTTCTATGACAACTTACAGGCGTATAGCATGTAAACTCAAATGCACTATAAATTCTGTTTTGTTCAAAAGGAATTTGTCTTTCAGAGAATTTGATTTGTCTAAATTTATTGTGTTTAAAAATTTTCTCATTTTGTACCCAAAACATTTTTTTCCCATGATTGAGCAGCCCTACTCAAACATGCGCAAAGAAAATGCAGCCAAAATTCTGCCCAATGATGATGACATGATCAAAAGATGTCGTTTGCAGTAGCATACGTAAGACCATATACCGGGAGGCAGTCTTATAATACCTGCTGAATGAGTAAGACAGAAACACGCTAATACGCAAAACTCACTTTTGATGACGCTATGCTCTTCCAACAGGGTTGGTGTAGCAGGAAGGGTGTAAGGCGCAGTGGTTGCAGCTGGGGACACCCCTGGGGTTCGTACAGGAACCGCGGGGTAGCGAGAAGGCGTGTCCTCATGGCCATTCCCGTTGACTTGCATATTCAAGTGAATTTTGTTCTTTTTGACACATCTGAAAGCAGGGGAAAACCAGGTTAAAATATTTTACCTATCAAGAATAGGAGGGTGTTAGGTTTCAATTGGAGTCATCCCCTTGAGTTAGAGACAGAACGTGCACCGCATGGCTTCAAGCTTTTGATACAGATTATGTAAGCGGGATTTGAGGGAGGCACGTTTGAGTGGCTAAACAGGACCGGCACGGGACAGTCAGGGTGACAACCCCGGCCAGCCAGACAAAAGCCTCAAGGACGCAATTCTCCACACACACATTAACATGTGAGCAACCAACAGCGAGCAAAAACGGAAAAAATATTCGGACATTGGAACTGAGACCCATTTCGCACAGATTGCTAACGAGATCGTGCGAATGCGTGTTGAATCAGTCAGTCGTGTTTTTAATCAGCCTTGGAAAAGTTTAGCCTCCCGATGCACAGACATGATGTGATGGATAAACATGGCGCTAGTTTGTGCCTGTGCATCCCCCATCGAAATAGAGCAAAGTAGAGGGGGGACAGATTGTGCATGTATGTCTGTGTGTGTGTTTGACTTGCCACCTCTGAGCATTAGTCCGAGGAAATACTTCCTCTTTGGACATGACTCATAATCTCTGGGAATCTGAGCGGATTAGCCCCGGCCAAACATTCCCAGTAAGAGTGTGTATGATAGAGGGAATAGAAGTGTACTGAAAGGCAAATTGACATAAAAACAGGACAGATGCTTTTGTTGTCAGTGTAATGTAGTTAGTATACATAGAGCCGATATAGTGGATCTTAAAAGTCTACACACCCCTGTTCAAATACAAAGTTGTATGTGATATTAAAAAAAAAAGAGAGAAGAAGAGATAAATACTTAATAATTTATTTCCGCCATTAATGTGATTTATAACATGTTCAATTCGGTAGGGCAGACAAAAAAACAGCAGAAATAATGTGGCTGCCCTAACTGCGGATGTGTCTGTCTCCGGAATTAACAAATCACATTGAAACTCGTGTTAAAAGGGAGTCACCACACACCTGCAGGCATCTAAAGTGCCCAAATACAGTTCACCTGTTCGAGTAGGTTGTTCCGGAGTTTTAAACTTCAGAGCGTACAGCACAAGTCATGGTAAGCAGAAAGCCTCCATCGTATCGGAGGGATCTCAATGCTTATAAACATCAGTCAGGAGAAAGGTACAAAGGAATGTTGCATGCATGCATGTGGAAAAATGTGTTCAGGTCATATGAAAGCAACTTGACAAAATTTCAAAAGGCATGTCTGGCGCAAACACAGCACTTCTCAGTGCTCATCACTGTTACTGTTGATGTGCGTATAGAATGGTGGCAGTAAGACCTTTGGCGTGTGCTTTACTTTTCTGAAGCTATCGTTAAAGCTTTTAAACCACACCACGAGGCTTGAAGCAAAACTCACCAAAAGCAACAATCTTCCAACGTGTTCTGAGTACCTACTTGTTGGTGAGCGGGTCTTCGATGCGATTGCCCAACTGCGATTCGTGACTTTTGCTGCGGGTGAGGGTGATGTTGGGAAGCAGATGGAGCACTTTGCGGGACGGAGGCGGCGGGGTGCATGGAGGCTTCAGTCGGTGGCGCCGCTTTGACGGTGGCGTTACGGGTGGTGTGGAAGTGTGGCCTTGGAGACGGTTGGAGCGAGCTATGGACATGGGGAATGCGTTGGTGAGGGGGCTTTCGCCGTGTAGGTGTGGAATCTGAGCCTCGGGCGTGGGCACCGCTGACACAGAGCCGGAGCGAGGATGAGGAAAAATAGCGCATGGGGTGGAGGGCGTGGAATGGATGGTGGACGGGCGGGCTAGAGGCGAGGGGCTGTGCGGCCGGAGCGGGTTTCCAAGGCTAGAAACTTGATCGGCAGTCAGGAGAGATCCGCTGTCCCTCCTGGCGGGCTCAGACAACCAAGTTGTGCTGTCTTCTTTCGGTTCACCTCCTGGACCACAGACAAGAATGGAATAATGCGGTCTGCATTCATGGAGGGGACATTCAAAATTGCGCAGATGGGAGCAAACATGCATACCGGCTTCAGTTGCACTCTTGAGGCAGGAGAGGGCAGCACTTAGGCGAGCACATTCTTCTGAGGTGAAGCTAAGCCTTCGCATTGTGTCCCGCACTTGAGTTCCTGCCATCTGCAGTAAGGCATCCAGGGAGAACTTCACTTCCACTGCCTACACAGAAGCAAAACCAAGGAAAGAAAACGAAGATTTCAATCGAAAAAAACCCAATAGACAACTTTAAGAAAGCACAACAATGCTCTTTCATTTTACTCACAGGTGCCTAAGATTTGGCTGATATGACTTATTAAATTTGAAAAAAAAATCAATACCAGCCTTTTTGCTGCAGTTACCATTTTACTGGAAGGGATATGCAGTAGGTACCACCTAAATTTGTGCCAGAGAACAGAGATATGACCGGATACAAAAATTTCAGAATCAGAAGGAAACAAGCGCGAGCTCAGTGAGCTTAGGATGTTGTTTTTGGACATGGGAAGTGCGCAATTGCTTATCAGTCAGGTCAAAGCCGCGCTTCGACAGGGCAAACAGTGATCAGAGAGCAAGGGGCAATGTCCTACACACTCAGGTATCCACTGCGAACAAAGGAAAGTGCACAAACAGGCAAGAGAGATTTTGGAGTGAAAGTGGTAGGGGAGCAACACCCACCTTCTCAATCATTTGTGAGGACATATAAGTTATGTGACTGTGAACTGTACATCAAGTCATCAAGGAAATGCCAAACCAACCAACATAGACATTATTTTATGGAAAAAAAATGTCCAATGATTTAGTGATTTTATTATCAACCATGATTAAAATATATACATACCCTAAATGGGTGGATATCTATTTTTTTGTAAATTTGTAAAACAAAATGACTCCAGCTTCCTCCCACATTCAAAAAACATGCATAGTTGGTTAACTAAAATGTCACTGGGTGAGAATGTGAGTGTGAATGATTATTTGTCCACATATAACCTATCTCATTCGTAACCCTGAACAGGATAAACTGTAGAAATCGAAAGGATGGATGCCTACGTTCAACTTTAGGGGAGTACGTGAGATAACATTGGGTGGTTGTTTTACAATGGCCAACGATTTTAAGTTGTCGGTAGTATGTTAAATGACAAGGTTCATTGCACCATCGCGCTGGCGGCTCCTGTCTTTTCTATGACTTTTGCTTACACAGGACAGCACAGGCAAGTGGGCCAGCGCCAGCCTTTCTGTTTCCCAAATACCAATACAGGACGACATGACAGACATGGCCTCGAACCAAGGCCTGGATCCCTGAATAAGATAAACAAAATAAAATCTCTCCATTGTGTAACTCCAAATGAGCTAAGCTCCAGTTCTCCTCGGGAGAATTGCATAATGTGTGCCTGTGGAACTCAATTAGATGAGGGAAAAGGGCTTTATGATGCTTGGAAGTAGGATGCGATGCAGTTCTATGCAACACTTAACGTACAGTATGTACAGCATTTAGACATACTTCTGTTCAGTGCTGCTAATCATCAGAACTGTATTTTTAAAAACAGACTATTATAGAGATATACACTGTTGCACAGTACCTCTTCTTCATGTTAATGTGACATGTTGCTCCAAATAAGTTATTGAAATATATGTACAGTGTTTTAAAACCAGGAAGGGTGGTGAGAATATGCATGAAGCGAACTGAGCAAGTAAAAGGGGAATATTATGCAGTTAATGAAATGTGGCAAAACGGAAAAATTATCATTGTAAAGTACAGCGGGTTGTATTAAAGAATAACAAGCAAGCGAAACATCCTCGCTGATCATGTTACAGTGAGGTCACAAGACAAAAGCAAACAAGGACAAGAAAAACATACAGTAGCTGACAGTTTGCAGCTGCACAGGAAGGAAAGTAAGTGATGGGAGAAAAAAAAATGGAAGTAAAATATGACGAACAAATATGTTGAGGAATGACAGCTACACTGAATTTGCAAAGTGAAAATGAATGATGCATTTCTTTCAAGTATATCCTGTAAAAGTAGTTCGGCGCGAGTGGAATTAGAGTAAAATAAGATCTTTGTAACAGGACATCTTTCTTTGAAGACTGACTGAACACTTATCTTTCTTTTGTATATCATCAACAGTTTTTATTGCTGAAATTAACATTGTGGATAGCGGCAAACTGTTTTTCGTGCCTCAAACATTTTTCTGTGGTGCAAATTCAGTTTAAATTGAGTAGTTATGTCAATCTTAAATTAGCACCGTTAGTATAAGTGGGGGCGGTCGGTGGGCCAGTGGTTAGCGCATCGACCTCATAGTGCAGAGGTACCGGGTTCAATTCCAGCTGCGGCCTTCCCTGTGTGGAGTTTGCATGTACTCTGGCTTCCTCCCACATTACAAGAACATGCATGGCAGGCTGATTGAACACTGTAAATTGTCCCTAGGTGTGAGTGTGAGCGCGGATGGTTGTTCGTCTCTTTGTGCCCTGCGATTGGCTGGCAACCAGTTCAGGGTGTCCCCCACCTACTGTCCGAAGACAGCTGGGATCGGCTCCAGCACCCCCCGCGGCCTTTGTGAGGATAAGCGGATCGGAAAATGGATGGATAGTATAAGTGGTACCAACAACACTATACAACATCATGTGAATCCAAATTGGGATTGTGGTGCTGTGGGGGTCCGCACATGATGCAACAAGCTAAAACATTCACAGTGATGCTTGTGGTGTTGTGAAAATAGTGCAAAAGTAAATAGGAATGAAAAATAGAACAGAAAAACAGGAAATGGAAAAAAATGGAAGCAAATTCACACATTTTGTTGAGCAACCAGCCACTTGCATCGTGTGAGAATGACACAGCTTTTTAATAAATGTAATGCGGACAATAAGCCTACCTCGATGAGTTCTGGTCGTAAATTGATGGTGCGGAGCCAGTCTCGCAGGCGCGGATAGCTTTCCAGGTTGTCGGGCCTCTCGGTCTCTGGCACTTTGAGCTTGAACTGCAGCTGTTTACAGATGTACTTCACCAGCTTCACCTGCAGGGAGCAATAGAGGACACGACCCATGAGGGGAGGGGCAGCCACAGAAGGAGTTGTGGTTCACCGAGCGGGACACAGTCAATACATACTGTATTAGCTTTTCCATTCTAAACTCCACAAACCTGCTGTAACAACACCGCTCGACATACCTGCAGTGTGTGTCTTTGACCCAGTTTCACAGGGCCGTCAGTGTGCAAGACACTTTTTGAATGAACACATTCACGACTATATCTGCACAATTTAATGTAGC